TTTTGCTCTACCCAGCCTGGCCCTGCCCTCTGGCTGTGTGCCATCGGCGATTTTTAGCCTTGCTGGAAATTACACCCTCTGCGAGGGTAAAGCAAACTGGGAGGTTCTGACTCTGGCTCCAGAGGGACTGGAGCCCGTCACCTACCTGGCCCTGCCCTGTGTTTCCTGGCATGTATTCCTGGCCACCTTTTTACCCTTACCATGGTCCTCTACACCCATAATTCTGCCTCAGTAAGGATTTAAGGACTGGCTTCTTCAGAGGGACAGTGGGAAGCAAGAATGTCAGTGCTTTGGCTGAAGCTCCTGATAGCAATCTCTGTGTCCTGCTTAAGGAGAGTTATTGGTCTCATGTAGGTGATCTAACAGCTGTGTTGGGGATGGTTGGAATATGAAGATTCTTCAGTATCACAAAAGGATTTACCACTGGGTTCCTTTGACCTGCTTTTCAAAATAAAATTTGATTCTCACACTGTAAGTAGCGGCAGTTACTTACATCAAAAAACCTTTGAGGGGCGCCTGGGTGACTTGGTTAAGCATCCCACTCTTGATGTCAGCTGAGGTCTTGATCTTAGGATCCATGCTGGGTGTGGAGCCCACCTTAAAACACACACACACACACACACACACAAAACACCTTTTTAGATTTTCTAGGCGAACTTCCTTGTTTTAGATATGAGCAAACTTTGGGAGGTTCAACAAGGGCAAAGCTGTGCCTTTGCTAAGTAGCTGACATTCACATTATCTGAGAGGAATTGAAGCAGAGGGGAACAGACATTGTGTGAGAGGAGGTCTCAGTTCCCCCGGGAGGAGCATTTCTTGGTTTGTTTTTTTTCTTTAAAGATTTTATTTGACAGAGAGAGAGAAAGAACACAAGTAGGCAGAGAGACAGGCAGAGAGGGGGAGAAGCAGGCTCCCTGCCGAGCAGAGAGCCTGATTCAGGCCTCGATCCCAGGACCTTGAGATCATGACCTGAGCCAAAGGCAGAGGCTTAACCCACTGAGCCACCCAGGCGTCCCTCTTGGCGTATTTTTAGGTTAGGGAGAGGAAGAATGCATTCCTTCTCCTCAAATGCTCACAGCCCTTGGGTTGGGTAATTCCTGCCTCACTGACTTTTACCTTAGTCCTTTTGGATTGAACCCAAAACGACATGGTAATATTTCAGTTTGAAACTTTGCAAGGTACATTTAAGTAAGTGAAAACTTATAGGATGTAAGTGACTGAATGTAACTTTATTAAAATTCAGTGTGTGAGAAAGGCCTTATACTAAGCAAAATGTCAGTAGAGGTTCTTTAGATGGCCTGATTTAATTAGTGGATTAGATAGATTAGATTAGAATTATCCAGTCTATAATTGGTACTTGTAAATTTGGTTCATTTATCAAATACGGATTAACTGCAGAGAGTTCTGTGATAACTTGAGATAAAATGGTAGGCTATGACAGATACAGACCAATGCTGTGGGAACTCAGATTGTTTCTAGTTTTTGGATCTAGAGAATCAGGATCGTTTTGGGAAAACAGATTTCTTTGTTTTAAAGAACACTTTATTTTATTTATTTTTTTAAAAAGATTTTATTTATTCATTTGACAGATCACAAGTAGGCAGAGAGGCAGGCAGAGAGAGAGGAGAAGCAGGCTCCCTGCTGAGCAGAGAGCCCGATGCAGGACTCGATCCCAGGATCCTGAGATCATGACCTGAGCCGAAGGCAGAGGCTTAACCCACTGAGCCACTCCCTTAAAGAACACTTTAAAATAATCTTGCTTATACTCTAGTCAGAGGTAGTATTGATACAAAGATAAATCTATTCTCATTTATATTAAAATTTATTTTCATTCATATTATTAAAACTGAATAAATAGCAACATAATGTATTTCCTTTCACTAAGTTTCTTTGCTAATCTCTAAAGCAGTTTTCCAAAGAACAGACCTTTGGCAAATAAGAGCAGTCCACTCTTTTATGAGACAGTAACTCTGCAGCTAGTGAATGGAGGCCAGGCTGTGAACAGAGAGGCCACTCTTACCAAGAAGCTTATTTATGAAGTAAGGACAGTTAGTGAAGGGGCAACACAGAGCCTAGGGAGCTTTGAGACTGGAGCATGTCCTTGTGCTGTGAGGGAAAGAGCTAGTTAAGAGGGAGAAGATAAGGGTAATGTTGGAGATGATGACATTCTAGAGGAAGAGCGCCCTCATGAATTAATGGTTACTTTGGCAGTGTCCAGCAACTGAGGGTTAAAGCAGAGGACGTTTGTATTCAAATAGGGGCTGTGTTTTGTGATCCAAGTGGAAGACTTGGAGTAAGAGGAGTCTAGAATATTGGTAGCAGAGTGGCAATTGTTAAGATGGTTAGAGAAAAGAGTGACTCCAGAGGAGGGCTGATAGGCAGCAGAATGATGGGGGTGGGTATCAAGGGGCTGGAAGTGTCAGTGAAGTTGAAGAATGAAACTGTAGAAGAAAAAGACAAGGAGAGGTGGAAATAATGGAAGGATATAAGAGGTCACGACCAGGCAAAAGGTCTGACTTGGAGTGTAAAGCACACTGTGATCAAGGATCCAAAGGTCTTGATGACCAAGAAGTCAGTAGTCAACAGTAGGGAGGAGGAGTGTAGTTGTTTGGTATAGATGTTGGCAAAGGAAGGATTTTTTTTTTTGTAAGGTGGTAGGAATAATGGCTTTGAAGACACATTGAGACAGACCATCTGTTTTTCTTCTTGGTTACCACTGGGTACTGAAGAATGATTTTATGGCCGCATTCATTGCTCAGAACCAAGTTCCTCAGGGAGTGCCAGGTTCCAGCTAGGGGGAGGGAAGCCAGAAGCACCTTTTAGGCCTACTTTTTTTTTGCACTGTGTGCCTCAGTGCTGTGGACTGGGGGGAGGAGAGAGATTCTGGCCAAGTGGAACAACCGCTACAAAGTACTGGGCCTTTAGGTGGAGTTTGCAGGAGTAAGGACTAAGTACTCTTTGCAGGGAAAATCCCATTTGGCCATGAGGGTTTTTTGAACTGTTCAGGATCAGATTGAGTCAGTGCTAATCTGTGAGAGGCTGAAGGGAAACTGTGAAGGTTTCTTGCTTAAAATTCTACAAGTCAATAGACTCTTGAGGCTTTCTATTCCTGTGGGGTCTGGAATTTATTTTTTCCTTCCATAGTGACAGCAAATAATGCCCTAAAGTTCACACGGTTTGGAAGCGTCTGGAGATACTCAGATTATCTGAGTTTGGGTTTTTAATGGTTCAGAATTCTTTTGACATTGTTAGTACATGATTCCAACAGTTTAAGAAAGAGCTTCCAAACAGCTGGAAGCAAACTAAGTCTTTACAATTCTTTTTGCTCCTTCTTTACTTGATTCATTTACATCACCACTCTGGCCAATGTGAGTAGCTCAGAAAATGATTGCCTAGGGGCGCCTGGGTGGCTCAGTTGGTTAAGCTACTGCCTTCCGCTCAGGTCATGATTCCAGGGTCCTTGGATTGAGTCCCACATCAGGCTCCTCGCTTGGCAGGGATCCTGCTTCTCTCTCTGCCTCTGCCTGCTTGTGTGCGTGGTGGCTCTCTCTCTGACAAATAAATAAATAAAATCTTAAAAAAAGAGAAAGAAAATGATTGCCTAATCAGCCATTTCATCACAGGAACCCAAGCAAGATTGTGTGGCCCCCAACAGAAGAGGCTGTGTGGCTCAGAGCTTGGGTGTACTGCTCCTGTGGCAGTACTTTTTGAATAATTTTTAATTGCTTTTGCCACATAAAAATTAGATACTTCTGTCTGGCAACTTCTGTCTGTCTGTCTTAAACAAAGTTAAAGGGCACCTGGGTGGCCTAGTCACTGGGCGTCTGCCCTGGGCTCAGGTCATGGTCCCAAGGTCCCGGGCTTGAGCCCCGCATCAGGCTCCCTGCTTGGCTGGAGGCCTGCTTCTGCCTCTCCCACTCTCCCTGCTTGTGTTCCTTCTCTCGCTATGTCTGTCTCTGTCAAATAAATAAAATCTTAAAAAAAAGTTAGAAGACAGCCAACAGATGGGGAGAAAATTTTTGCAATATATGTAGTAAGTGATGGGTTAATATCTATAATCTATAAAGGGTTTCTATAAATCAATAAGGAAAAGACAGACCCAATAGAAAATGGGTAAGAATACAATAGGTGAGACACAACAGGGCAAACTGTAATTTCATCTTAGAAAATGCTTATTCATTTCATCCATTCCAGGTGAAACTAGAATTTCATTTAAGAAATGAGCACAGACTTCTCTGGATAGGAATGTTCACTCTTTTGGTAAATATCTATTAATAGGGTACTGTGAAATGCTTTGTGGCTGCAAAAACTTTTTTTTTCTTTAGAGAGAGTGCACATATCCATGAGTGGGTATGGGAGGCAGAGAGAGAGAGAGAGAGAATCTCAAGCAGGCTACATGCCCAGCACAGGGCTGAATCTCACAACCCTGAGATCATGACCTGAGCTGAAATCCAGAGTTAGACACTTAACCAGCTGAGCCATTCAGGCACCCCAGCTGTGAAAACTTTGAAGTTAACTTTCTGTATCAGTGAAAGGAACAAGTACAGAGAAATACAAATAGAATGTTCCCATTTATTTTTAAAAAACATTGCTATTTGATTTGGAATGTATTTATTCTGTTTTGAATTTTGTAAAGGATTCCTGTAGGTTAAAAAATATTTAAGATTAGGGACGCCTGGGTGGCTCAGTAGGTTAATTAAGCCTCTGCCTTCAGCTCAGGTCATGATCCCAGGGTCCTGGGACTGAGTCTCATTGCTCAGTGGGGAGCCTGCTTCTCTGCCTCTGACTGCCACTCTGCCTGCTTGTGTGTTCCCTCTCTCTCTCTGACAAATAAATAAATAAATAAACAAACAAACAAATAAAATCTTTAAAAAGATATTAAGATTATATTCTTCTAATTACATTAATGAATGAAATGTCAACTCTTGTCTTCCCCTTATGTAAAGATTGATCTTAGCCTCTGAGAATTTCAAGACTTCTCACTACCTTTCTCTTTCCAGAAACTAAAAAAATTCCTGAAGGAGGCTACTGGCCATGGTGTCTGCAGTTACACTTGGTGTGAACAAAGGAATTCAAAGCTCAGAATTATTTTTTCTTAGGATTTGCTACATTTTGGTATTCACAGCCTTCTAGAGCTTCTCTGCTTCTTGCCTGTGACGCATTTGAAGGAGCTAAGACCTCCTCTGGTTGGAGGGCTTTGTTGCTCCTGCCCTTGCAAGAAAAAGGAAAATTACATGACTGGCCCAGGCAGGCAAGACTTAGAGCCAGCCTGAATCTTGGGAGGAAACCTGCTTCTAGCATTTGTCCTTGCCTCTTCTTTGGAGAAGCCTCTCAGCCAGTTTTAGTCTTGATCTCAGGACCCCCATCAACCTAGGTGAAAGCAGACTTTGAAGCAGATAGCTTAGTTTTGCCTATCTCATTGGAATTTGAGGCTCTAGAACTCAAGCCTGAAAACAACAAAATTCCATCAGAGGCTGGCTCAAGGCCAAAAATCTCTTTGTCTTTCAAAGACAGGAAACAGTTATGGGACAGAAGCACCACTTTCTTTAATTATAATACCGGTGTCAGTAGACCCCAGTATGGGTGTGTGAGGATTGTTTCAGACTTGTAACATAGGCTTTTCTGTGAGCTGGAGAGCTTACAAAGAGCAGTAGAATAAAAACCTATTTAAAAAACCAAAATCAACTCTAGCCAGTTGTGTTCGAAAGAGGGGTGGCCTAATTCATATTTCTAGGGGGAAAAATCATTCCATTCTCTTCACCAGTATAGAATGGTGGTGGTGAGAGAGTGAATTTCAAAACTTCCTTTTGTTCCTCAGTGCTGGTCAGGCGTGGAGCCTGGACTGATGGCTCACAGTGGGGCTGACTCCAGGTATGGGTCACTGGATGTCAGAGGAAGGGGGATGGAGAGCTAAGTTGCTCAGAATAATATAAGGGGAATTTAGTTTCCTGAGCAAGGGGAGACCTCTTCCAAATATGAGCAGTGTCTGGGGAGGGGAAAGGAACCACGAAGCATGGTAACAATATAAAACCCCTCTGTCTCTTCATAACTTAGGAAAGTCTGATGAGGACATAGTGTTTCGAGTCAGTTTGTGTATGTGTATTTTTTTCTTTTTGGTAAAGCATGGAAAAAAGGGAGCTGAGTCCCACCTCTGGGACAGCTCAGATCAGAAGGAAGAGATTGGCCTCATTGAGTGTGATTAAAAAATCCAGCAGGAACTGGAGTCAGAGCCAAAAGAAGCTGTTAAGAGCATTAGCTGGTGGGAATTTGCAGAAATTGTGGGAGGGTCATTGGATGGGAGGATCTACACCGTTTAACCAACTGAGCCACGCAGGTGTCCCTCAGACTGGATTCTGGTGTAGTCAGGTACATCCCTTGGCTCTAGATGGAGGACACATGACTGCCAATTAGAACACCAGTTGATGTTGGTATGGTCTCAAATCCAGGCCAATTAGGACTCTGGACTTTTGTCAGAACTATTAAGAAGTGACTTCTCATTTTTTTTCCAACTGAGTTGCCAAGCCTGTGGAATGTGCATAGTTCTGAGGCTGCTGGTGATCATCTTGCCATCCCAGGGGGAGTGCTGAAGTCAACACAGGTGAAAGCTGAGTTGTGAGGTGGAGACGGAGCCTAGGTGGCATCTTTGGAGCACCTGGATCTTTTTTTTTCTTTCTTTCTTTCTTTCTTTCTTTCTTTCTTTCTTTCTTCGTTTTTAAAGATTTTATTTATTTTTTGACAGAGAGAGAGACAGCAAAGAGAGGGAACACAAGCAGGGGAAGCGGAAGGGGGGAAGCAGGCTTCCCTCTGAGCAGGGAGCCCCATGCAGGCCTCAATCCCAGGACCCTGGGATCATGACCTGGGCCCAAGGCAGACGCCCAAGGACTGAGCCAGCCAGGCACCCCAGAGCACCTGGATCTAACCAGCCATTTACATGACTCCAGGCTTTCCTGTTTTATTTTTGAAAGTGTGCTTGGATATTTGTCACCTACAGCCAGTAGAGTCTTAATTCATGTTATGAATTATATATAGTTCTCATTAGAAAGTGTGGTTTGGCTTTTCTCATCAGACTCTTTTGTCTTAAAGTGCTGACTTGTAAGCTTGTTATATGAATCAAATGAGACCATACGTATAAAGAATTTAGCATTATGCTCTGTACATAGGAAGAAACCCAGTAGATATTGACTACAGGAAGCAAGGAGGGAAGGATCGAGGGGGAAAGGAAGGAAGGTCACGTGCTGAATTAAAAGGACCCTGAAGTCCCTAAGGTAATATTCCAGAAACCCCCAAGCCCTATCAGGTCCCACTGATCTAAATGCCCCAGTGCCCTACACTTTACCCTCCGTAAGCCTTTATCATGGTTTGTAATGATATGTTTATGTAATATTTTGGTTACTGTCCACCTCTCTCACTGAACTGGCAGTTCTATGAGGGCAGTGATTTTTGCTCACTGTTTTGTCCATAGCAGGTAGTTAAATGTGTGGCATTCAGCAAACTTTTTTTTTAAAGATATTTTTTGAGAGAGAGAGTGTGTGTGTGTGTTGGGTGGGGGTGAGGGGATGAGGAGCAGAGGGGAAGGGAGAGGGAGGGGGAAAGAATCTCCGCAGACTTCCTGCTGAGTGCAGAGTCCGACCCAGGGCTCAGTCTGACCTTAACAGACTGAACCACCCAGGTGCCCCTCAGCAAACATTTTTTTGAAGGAATTGTCACTTCTAGGTGCCTAAATTGGACTGGCTATCCTCGATTATTGGGGTTGGGACTGTGGCAGAATTGGCAAAATCAGGGAAAGCTATCCCTGTCCCCTCTGTATCTCCTATACTAGTGATATCCCCAACACACATACAGACAATTTTGTCTTAATGGGATAATTTTGATTTGGTTGTGAAACCTGGAGAGGTGGGAAAATGTTCCCTTCTTACTTCCTAGAATGGTCTAATAACTAAATTGATATAAAACAGATTGCAGGAGAAAACCAGATTTTGTATATATGGGAGCCCCATAAAAACATAAGGCCCAAAGGGCAGTCAAGTAATTGAAGTTTTATATAACATCCTGAGCTAAGGAAAGGGCTTGAGGTCTGGGGATACAAAGGGAAGGAAGGCTATTCACAAGAGGAGATGTTTGGAAAACAAAGGTTACCCTTTTGTGCAGATAAGTTTCTTAGGTAAAAAAGTATTCTGGTAATATTGTCCTGGTATAGGCACCCTTCCAATGTCAATTTAGGCAGTTGAGGCGGGGGAGGTAAAGAGCTTTTCCTAAATTTGCTGTGTTTTGATTGCTTTTAGCTCAGAAAAAATCCTTATACCAAAGAGACATGTTTGGGGGTGGCAAAATCTCCCCTTCCAACCCTTTACCGAATCTCTAGTACTTATATTTATAATCTCTAGTTATTATATTTTTATTGGCTCATTTTATTGAGGAATCGAATAGTATGGTGGTTGGAAATAAATGGAACGCAGAGGAGTAGGTCAGGTCTCCGTGATTAACAAGCAGTCTTCCTTGCTCCTGTGTCTTAATAAAATCATATATTTAACTGGGATAGTCCACTCTCACTTAGGCTTGCTCAGGAGTGTGTTGGAGGATGTATGAAGGTCCGGGAAATTGAAGAGGGATGTGGATGCTGGAGACTTCACTCTCCAGCAAGAAACAAAAGCAGTTAAAAAGTGGCCTGGAGAGGGCAGGTGACCTGAAGCTCATTCCTGTGGGCCTGGTGTCTGGGCCCAGTGGCATCTCCAGGGGCATCCCAACCAAACCCCTGCCCGATACAAAAAGCAGCCTCCTTCCAGCTTAGGCTATGGTTCCTCCCTTCCCCCAGCCTGCTTTCCCTGAGGTGGGGAGTGTTTCCCAGGGCCCATGTGACTTCCACTGGCAAGTGACGATTACAGACGGTTTACCAGTCAGTAAAACTGCCAAAGGCTTTTGTGCTGTAATAATCCTTTTCCTGTTTAAAACTCTGGGGATTTTCTACTCTTGCCAATAGTTTTTCAAGTCAGCAATTATGTTGTGGATTATGTAATGGCTAGGTATTAAAAATAGAAAAGACCAGAGTTTGCATCTATTTTAACCAAATGAAAACAGAGCAGAGGGAGGGGAAAGGAGGAGAGGGAGAGACCAGAGGAGGAGGCAAAAAGAGTTTACGTGACAAGAAGCAGCGAGATCCCGTCATGTGACTGGACAATCCAGCCCACAATTTACTGTGCTCTTTTCCTGCCATTCTTGGCCCAAGGGGCTGTACTCTTCCTGGACCTCCTCCAGGGAGAGGACCCTGAGGAGAATTCCTTTATTTCTCAGCTAAGCCTGGGGTGTTTGCCTGCCTCTGACAGGCGAAATGACTAAGCGCGGAGGGGATTGATTTTGATGTGATTAAAAACTATTTGCTCTGAAAATCCACTTTTATTATAGCTACTGCCAACCCTCCAACTTCCCCACTGTCACTCTCTTCCCACTGGATTGCCATCCCTAAACCCTCATCTGGCAGTTCCAGGGCTGCCATTCGTTGTTCTAATGTGACTTCTCACTAATCCTCCACCCTCACCCCAAGTGAAGAGATCTCTGTGTTTTTCTGGGAACCTACTGAGTAACTTTAAGGGCCCTCTAATGAGATTTTAGGTGCCAGGTGGGTCTGGAGTAGGGGGGTTATTTTTGGAAGGGAAACTTCATGTAAGGGCCTGATAGATCATACCAAAATATACCAGGCTTCTACTGTGTCACCTTCGAAGTCCCTCACTCCATTCTGGATACAGAGGCAGCTGTAGGGGCAAGTCTTGAGTTAATCACCTCTAGCCCTTGGGCCTACATAGAGCACAGATTTAGTAGGTCTGGGGGGCGGGGAGTGGTGGGTGCTTCGAAGAAGCAGCTTACTGTTTCTGAATATTGAACCCAGATAGCTTTGGCGGGGTTCGGGGAGAGACCTGAGAGTCTAGACCAGCGATAGGATATAGCAGTAGGCGGACCCTTTGGGCTGGGCAGAGCCAGATTAACAGGGACATCTCAGTGTTCACCTAGGACAGATAGGGCAGGTGAAATCTCTTATTTAATGTGCCAAATCTTGTGGAAGCGAGCAGGGATGTCTTAGCAGCCTGGTATATAGCGTGGTGATCTGACTTCAGGCCAACCAGGGCTGCCAAACAAGGGGCGGTACTAGCACCTCCTCTGTCTCTCAGCACCCTTGTCCATCCAGATAGACCTGGGTTCCAAAGACCCATCTCTTGTGTCACAAAAGGCAACCAGCTCACTAGCGCTTACTTCCCTGAGGGGTTTGCATTTGAGAGACCCCAGAATATTACTTCTACTCCTGCTGTATAAATTTTACTATAACTGTTACTTTTCCTCTAGGCAAGTAATTTGGTAATTTAAAATTTTCTCAAGGGGCCTCTGGGTGGCTCAGTTAAGCATCTGCCTTTGGCTCAGGTCATGATCCTGGCGTCCTGGGGTGGAGCCCTGCATTGGGCTCTCTGCTCAGCTTGGAGCCTTCTTCTTCCTCTCTCTCTTCCCCTCCCTCTGCTCATGCTCTCTCTCTCTCTCTCAGATAGATTTTAAGATAAAATCTTAAAATTTTTTTTCTCAGGGAGCCTGGGTGGCTCAGTGGGTTAAAGCCTCTGCCTTCAGCTCGGGTCATGGTGCCAGGGCCCTGGGATCGAGCCTCGCATCTGGCTCTCTGCTCGGAGGGGAGCCTGCTTCCCCCTCTCTCTCTGCCTGCTTCTCTGCCTACTTGTGATCTCTGTCTGTCAAGTAAATATATAAAATCTTAAAAAAATTTTTTTCTCAAAATTTAAAAAATATCCACATAAAATTTCCATAGTCTTGTTTTTATATCTCTACTGTATCTTCCCTTTTTCATTCCCAAAGTTGCATACTTAATGCTTCACGCTTTTTTCATTAGTTTTGTTGGGATTCTGTTTTGTAAGCACCAGCTTTTGTGTTATATCTATTGTTTGTTTCTTTGCCTTTTATTTCATTAACTTTTCCTTCTTGATAATTTTTTCTTAAGATTTATTTATTTGACAGACAGAGAGCACAAGTAGGCAGAGAGGCAGGTGGAGGGTGGGGGAAGCAGGCTCTCCGCTGAGTGGAGAGCCCAATGTGGGGCTCGATCCTAGGACCCTGAGATCTTGACCTGAGCTGAAGGCAGAGGCTTTCACCCACTGAGCCACCCAGGCGCCCCTCTTAATCATTTCTTTTAAGATTTATTTATTTGTTTTGGGGGGCTACAAGATGGAAGGAGGGGCAAGGGAGAGAGAGAATGCCAACACAGGGCTTGAGTTGGACAGTTAACTGACTGAGCCACCCAGGCACCCCTCTTCTTAGCCATTTTAAAACCAGTTTTATAATTGAAAAGCAATACAGGGGCAGCTGGGTGGCTCAGTGGGTTAAGCGTCTGCGTTCAGCTCAGGTCATGGTTCCAGGGTCCTGTGATAGAGTCCCATGTTGGGCTCTCTGCTCAGCAGAGAGCCTGTTTCTCCCTCTTCCTCTGCCTGCCACTCCCCCTGCTTGTGCTCTCTCTCCCTTGCTCTGTCAAATAAATAAAATCTTAAAAAAAGAACAAAGCAACACAAAGGGTCACTTTTTCTTACAAACTATTATAAAAAGATCAGTTACCCAAAAGAAGAGAGGATTAAAAAAAGAACTAT